TCACAACAACTCCATTTTATAGATGAGAAAACTAAATCAGAAAGGAGTTTACAATCTTGCCTGGCATCTCTGCACTTGCCGAAAGTTGGGGGCCTGTGCTCTCAGCCACTTTGCTACACCAATTCTAAAGCCAATTTTTTAAAGATATACAACTTTGCCTCTTAATTGCCAGGTGAGGGAAAGGAAGAAATCTAGGATCACTAACATTATTCATAGATGGTAGACTCACCAATCAAGTCAAAGAATGAAGGATGAGTTGGTTTCATTCTCCTCTAACTCTAGACTTCCACATCCAACTGCCTCCTGATATCTTTGCTTGGATATTAAGACACAAAGTCTGCTGCAGTAAAAGGGATTTAGAATAACCATGGCAGATCATAGAAATCAGTAGCTGTCTCACATCAGAGTTGACCTGGTACACAGGGCCTTCCCAGTGAAGTCCTCAGGGTCCCTTCTTGTTGCTCTGCAATCCCTAGAATGTTTCCCCTTGTCTTAGTCTGTTTATGCTGTTATAACAACATACCTGAGACTGGGAAATTTATAAAGAACAGATACATCCTTTTTCACAGTTCTAAAGACTGGGAAGTAAAAGATCAAGACCCCCGGCAGGTTCAGTGTCTGGTGAAGGCTGCTTTCTGTTTCCAAAGTGGCACCTTATTGCTATATCCTCTGGAGGAGGTGAATGCTGTGTCCTCATGTGGCTAAAGGGATGGAAGAACAAAAGAAGGCCTAAGCTAGTTCCCTCCAGTCCTTTTACAAGGGTACTAATCCATCCATGAGGCAGGGCCCTGATGATTCAATCAGGTATTAACATCACCACAATGGTGATTAAGTTGAAACATGAATTTTGAAGGGTATGCCATCATTCAAACCACAGCATCTTCCAACATAGTTCACTACCCCAACTATTTAATACATACACTCATCAGAAAAAGACAAAAAGAAAGGGCAAGTGACACCCAATTTCTTTCAGAAAATGATCTGGAAGTTGCATACATCATTTCTGCTCACATTCTACTGGCCAGAACTCAGAGATATGGCCACACTTAGGGTTTATTATAGGCAAGCCTGTATCTGGCTAGATGTTCTATTATTACAGATGAAGAGGAGAATGCAAACAGGTATCTCAAATTTAACATTACCAAAGCTAGCCTGCTTGTTCTTCCCAAACCTGCTCCTTTGCATTGTTATCACATCTCAGTCAATGGTGGAAAACACAACAAACTCAGGGGCTTGATGTTAGACATGTTGAGCCCGAGGTGCCTGCAGAACACCCAGGACAAGTTTCCAATAAGGGGTTGAAGATACTGCGTCGATGCTTTTGACTGAGGTCTATGTTCAAGATTCAGACTTGATCCCTGACTGAAATAAGTGACAGAAGAGTATATGTAAATAGCTCTATCAAAGATTATAACATGGTAGGCAAAGAGAACCAAGGATGGAGAGGGAGGATTCTGCACAGGAGACCTGAAAAAGAGTGGCCTAAGACAAGGCAGAAGAGCAGAGACTGTAAGGTGACAGAACCAAGGGAGCAGTTTCCAGGAGGCAGTGGTTGGCAGCGTGAAAGGCTGCAGAGAGGTCAGATGCTATGAAAACTGAGAAGCAACCTTTCAATTTGGCCGTTACGCCACAATGAAATTGATAAAAGCAATGCATATAGTAAAATGCAGGGAGCTGCTACACTTCCGTAGTCGAAGAGGGATTTGGTAGATAATAGGTCCAAGTATAGACAGCTTTTCTAAATAGAAGGGACAAAGTAGAGGGAGAATTTATGAACAGGAGAGGTAATGCTGAAGGGAGTAAGAGTGTTGAGTGAAGCTCCCTTCCCTCAAGACATAGAAATTACCTGTAGAAAGGACAGAAGGATGGCTTCTACCTTAAGACTGGAGGTCACAAAGAATGCAAATTTAGACACGTCTGTAGGCATTTAAGGGTGGGGGCATGTAGGAGTTCATGCCTGATGTGTGCAATACTAAACAATGATACATATAATACTAATATTACTACTACTAAGCACTAACATTTATTGAGTACTTATCATATGCCAAGCAGTGCTCTTCACGGAACTAAGCTTGCTCAACAGTATTTCCTAAATAATGGGAGCTATTCATATACTGAAAGCTTAGTGTCTTTCAAAAGTTGAGTGTGTAACATTTTGATGCAGCCTAAAAATAGCAACAGTGACTTCTATCCCACTATATCTGAATTTTGTCTCTTCCATGCTCTTGACTTATTTCTGATCCTGGGGCATGCTGAGTAGTAAGAGTTGTCTTCACATTTTGATTCATCTGTTAGGACAGGCACAATAAAAAATCTTCAGGAACAAAACAGCTCTGTCAAAAAACAACTTCGCCAGCAATTCAGGGTAAAATGTTTCCTTTAAAAAAAAGTTTGTCAGTATTAGCAGATACATATTAGTAGGTACCCTCATGATCAATGAGGTGTTGGGTTACTCTGAAAAAGTGTCCAGTCTTACAGGTGTGAATTCCTTTTGAACCGCAAGTTCTTGAGGGCAAGAATAGAGATTGTTCATCTTTTATTGTTTCCCAAGGTCTGGCACATAAATAGTAGTTCGAGTAGTCCAATGTATGACACATAAATAGTTCTGGATAAACATTTGCTCAAAGTTTGCTCAAGGCATTGATGCAGATGTTTTTAAAATCAAACTGTGTACTAGAAGTCTGAAGAAATCACTGTTCACTTAGTAGATACAAAGTTGCTTTTCTGGGAAAAACACAACTGAAAATAAAAAACATAGGTCTGATATGGCAGAATTTTTTTTTTTTTCATATAAACTGATGTACAGGGAAGTGGAACACTACTAGTATCTTAAGGATTCCTGAAAATATTTATGTTGGTAATTTTGATCAGCAAATATTTCTATATTTGAAAATGGATAAAGCAAAAAGCACAGTGAGGTCTTGAAAGCAAGTCTAACACTAATGTCACACCTAAGAATACATATTTAAAATTAATGAACTAAAAGGGATATAGGTGATTTTTCCAGATTCATAACAGGAACTAAGATCCTCCTTGATCTCAGTAAAGCAATGGATAGTCATTCTGACATCTAGCTAAAAGCAGACTTATTTCCCTTCGGTCTTTAATCTTTTTGGAACTCAGGAATTTCTGCCACTTTTGATACACCAGGCTAATACAAAATTATATTTCATTTATTGACAATTTCTACTTACAAGGAAGTAGAACATCTAAAAGTATCTCCACATGCTAGATATAGTTGTAATGGTATGCTTTAATTATTCTAACAATAAAGTCCTTAAAGATTTACATTCTTTGTTGTCTATTTTGAAAACTTGCAAAGATAAATTTCTGAAAGATTATGATTCCTACTAGTCCTTTCCATTATATATAACAGCAAATAGTCTCCAAATGTGGATGTGTAATGAGAGGAAAACTGAATAAAGACCTGAGTTAAAACATCTTAAAATTGAATATGGCTTCATGCTGTCATTTATCATCAGTTGTCCTAGAATAACAAATTCTTCTAGCCTATTGTTGGTTTTCAGTAGTTGGATATAGTTGTGAGGCGGACGCACTTGGCTATATAAAAAAGATGCTCTGACACTGACAGTTAAAAAAACATACTGCTGGCCTAGCGCTGTGTCTCATGCCTGTAGTCCCAGCACTTTGGGAGGCCGAGGTGGGAGAATCACTTGAGGCCAGGAATTTGAGACCAGCCTGGGCCTAACATAGTGAGGCTCCATGTGTAAGTTTAAAAATAAAAATTTAAAAAAGATACATCACTATGTATGACTGTTGATATTAAAAAATCTGAATACTAGACGTGGGGACTCATACAGTAGTTCAAGGGCTTAGCAAAGTTGCAAGTCATAACACTAGGAATTGTTAGTGATACTCTTACGGCTTTGCAACCAAATGTTGTAAAACTATATATATGTATATATGTGTGTGTGTGTGTGTGTGTGTGTGTATGTATATGTATGGTTAAAAAAAAAAAAAAAAACCTTTTAAAATAAAATGGTGACCTAAAGTCCCATAAATATGACTTTAAATGGGTTTAACTGTAATGGCTTTAACAAGGTTCGGCTGTCATGTTCATCAAAGTTGGCCTCTATCCAGTTGGGGTTAACCAAGGAGGAACTTCTCTGAACCGACGACCTACTGAACGTCAAACTGCAGGAGACGGGACTTTACCTTCGTCTCAGGTAAACTAGGGACACATCCTGTGTTGGCAAGAGGGCTAAGCATATGACCTTGGTCCCCTAAAATCTCGCCTGCACTCTCGGGCCGCTCCTGCAACGTCTACACAGGCAGCGCCGGGTGGAAAGGGGCTGGGGTCGGAAAGCTGGGAACCGCAGGCTCCTGCCCCGCCTCGGGGCTGGGGGCTGTTCCTGCGTTTTCTGCTGACTTTCGGAACCACGCGTCTCCCAGCGGTCTGAGGCGTTCCTCGGCTGGGCACACCAAAGGGCTCTGCAACCCGCCTGGGGGGCTCCAGGGGGGTTCCGGATGCACCAGGTTTATTCTTTCGGGTCACGGACAGCAGGAACGACAAGGAGGGTTCACCCTTTCTGTCCAGTCGCAAGATGGCGACGGAACCTGGTGGGACTCCGAGGGGCCGCGGGCCGCCTCCCCTTCCCGATGGCCCGTGCGCCGCCGGCGACGGCAAGCGGGAGGGGGGCGGGGCAGGCGAGGGAAGGAGGGGCGGAGCGCGGCGCCCTCCCGCGCGTCTTGGCCCCGCCCCACGTCCCCGCGTCCCGGCCTGGAGCCCTCGCCCGGCCGGGCGCGCGCGCTGCCTGCCGGGATACTCGGCCCGCCCAGCCAGTCCTCCCGTCTTGCGCCGCGGCCGCGAGATCCGTGTTTCTCCCAAGATGGTGGCGCTGGGCTCGGGGTGACTACAGGAGACGACAGGGCCTTTTCCCTTCGCCGGGTCCCGACACATCACCCTTCGCTCGCTCGCGCACCCCGCCGCCGCGTAGCCATCCGCCAGCCCGGGCGCCCGCCATCCGCCGCCTACTTACGCTTCACCTCTGCCGACCCGGCGCGCTCAGCTGCGGGCGGCGGCGCCTCCCTCGGCTCCTCCTCGGAATAGCTCGCGGCCTGTAGCCCCTGCCAGGCGGGCCCCGCAGACCCCCGGCGTGGACAGGCAGCGGCGGCTGGCGACGAACGCCGGGATTTTGGCGGCTCCGGCGCCCCCTTTCCCGGCCTTGGTTTCCGAAGAAGGAAGCGCGGGTCCCGCATGAGCCCCGGCGGTGGCGGCAGCGAGAGGGAACGAGGCGGTGGCGGGCGGAGGCGGCGGGCGAGGGCGACGACGACCAGCGAGGCGGCCGCCGCAGCCCAGGCGCGGGGGCGACGACAGGTCAGTGTTGCCGCGGCCTGCGCCAGGCGGCGCTGCCTTCCCCCCGTCCTCGGTCGCCCGGCCGGCCTTCCGGGCCCTCGGTGGCGAGCTCGGCACCCCCGTTCCCCGCCCCCCCGCCGCCGAGGCGAGTGTTTGGGGGCGCGTGGTCCGGAGGCGCTGGTGCCAGGAGTAGGCCCCTGGTGGCCGCGGCTGCTGCAGCCGTAACTGTCAGTCGTGGCTGAACGCCGGCGGGAGGGTTTTGTCGCCGGAGGGGACGCGAGGGGGCCCGGGGCGGGGCGGGACGTGCACGGCGTCGAGATTTGGGCCTCCTCGGAGCCAGCCTCGTCGAGCCAGCCGGGGCCCCAGGCGGGGAAGGGCAGGCCTTTTCCTTCTTTCTCGGCGTTGTCGAGGTTTTGGGCTCTCTTGGGGAAGACATATTTAGCCGTGTGCTGGGTTGGGGCTTTGGGGGTGGATTGATGGGGAGGGAGGGCGGATGAAGTGGTGTGTCAAGCCCAAGGGTTGTGTTCACAGATTACTCATGTGTAGCCGGCCACCAGGATTTCTGAAGTTGAACGTGAGTTATTGGTTTTGCCAGAGACGGCTGTGTTAAATGCAGACCTGCATGCAAGCAGTTGGCCTTTTTCTTTCCCGTTTTAGTGTAGAAAAGGAAAAGGATGCTTTCCTCATCTTGGTGGTAAAGGCTTTTGTTGATAAAGGCAGAGTTGAATGTACCAAATGCCTTAGTCCGTAAAAATTTTAAAATAATTTTAATACATACACTGGTGAAGCTTGGCATCCTTGAAAGAGAATCTAGCGTCTACATTTTTTTAATGACTTCTATGAGTTTGCTAAATTATTAACAGTACAAAATCTGTTTGAGATTATATTTATTACGTGGCTAGGGTGCTGTTGAAAATGTAAACTAATAGCCTTTTACAGTTTATAGTTAGCTCCAGTCATGAAGGAATATGGATATGACCCATAATTTTGGATCGCTTCACTGCCTGCAATATTGAGAGAAGCAGCAAATTATTACAGATTTTTTTGGGAGACGACCCAAAGAAATACAACTGTTGAAAGTTACATATCAGAGACACAGAGGTCTTGTTGAATAAATTGGACAAGTGGGATAAATGTTTGTCTCGCATTTCTGACCAACAAGTACTCTTACTTAAGAGATAATTTGGTAAATCACGTAAAATTTAGAATTTAAGAGAGATAAGAAAGTTTTGTCTTGGTATGTATAGTGGAAATAGCTTTGAAATTAGATCCTGCTTTTAAATCTAAGTTACTTACCACATTTTTAGTGAAATGAATACGATATTAATGATGCTGCTGATAAGCCCTAAGGATGACCAGAAGCCCTTTAAGAAACACTGATAAGCTTGACCACAGAATAAAAAAGGAAATAGCTTCAAGAAATAATTTGCAATCTTAATGTATTTGTAATATACACAGGAGAAATTCAAGAGCACAGTAGGAATTAACTCATCTTTATTTACAAAATTAGAGTGTAAACTGTGACAGTTTTATTGTGTCAATATTTATTAACCTGCATTAGTTTGCTAAGTAGTATGCCCACCATCCTCTGGACATTGCCCCGTCCCTGAGGAGCTTAACTTAGAGACACAAAATACTGTGTGTTGATTTCCTTTCAGAGGATTTATAAGCCACTTATATTTTATCTGTACTAAATTCTGCCCCTTTTTTCATGGCTGAAAAAATAGCTTTCTAAGAAAGGTAAGTACTAGTCAGAGGTGTGGGAAAACATGTTCTCATTCCACTTGTCCAGTCCATTTAACAGGATTTATTGGGTACCTACAGTATCTTCATAATTAGTTGTATTTCTTAAACTTTAAATCATTTCTATTTCAATCTCCTTCTCGCCTCAAAAAAAATTTACTGTGATAATTTACTGTGTAAACTGTGACAATATACTGTTAGTGGAATGATCCAGATGTGTAGGTCATAGCTAAATTTTTCATCTCATGCACTTGAAATGTTTCCAAACGTCTGTTTTCTTAAATGACTGCTAGTTATGTTCTCCAATCATGTTGTGCATGTTTTGTTTAGACCTATACTTGTATAGGTCTAGATGTAGAAACATTATATTAAGTACATATGTAGCTGCTGAAAGAAAATTAGTTTTTTGATTTTTAGATCAGGTTGAAGACAAATTTTTAGAAGTGATCTTTCACTTCTCAAGACTTTACTGGGTAAAGTTTTAGGTGCTCATTTCATGTTGGTTCAGGACAAAAGTTTTTTGACTGGTTTTGAACTTTCCCCTCACTGCCAAGTCTGAAGAGAAAATGTAATAACAAGACATTATGGTGTGTATAGTGGTAACATCTTTGAAATTAGACCCTTCTTTTAATTCTGCCCCTTAATCTTGGTAAGCCACAGTTTTGTCATCTGTAAAATGGGTTGGTGAAACTACCCGAGAGTTGTGAGGCTTTAAGTATGTAAAACGCCTTACACGTAGGCACTCAGTACGTATTACCTTAGAAATCTTTCATCCAGTTTTTCTGAATGGTCTGGAAGCCCGTTGTATATAGTGGACTACAGCATGTTATCCTTTATATTGTTTCTTTCTTTTCTCATTAGCTATGAACTCACTCTTTAAGGCCAGGAATTCCTAGTATTTACCAGAGAATGTTACCAGATGTCTTAGTCTGTTCTTACTGCTATTACAAAATACTGCAGACAGGGTGGCTTATAAACAACAGAAGTTTATTTCTCACGTTCTGGAGGCTGAGAAGTTCAAGATCAAGGTGCCAACAAATTTGACATCTTTGTGAGGGCTCTCTCCCTTGTTCATAGACAGCTGTCTTTTCACCATAACTTCATGTAGAGGGGGGGTTCTCTAGGGACTCTTTTATAGAGGCATTAATTCCATTCATGAGGGCAAAGCCTCCCAAAGGCCCCACCTCTTGATACTATCACCTGGGGGGTTAGGTTTTCAGCATGAACTTTAGGGTACACACTCAGACCACAGCACTAGAGCAGGCATGAATTAGTTAATGGTAAATCAGTAAATGATCAACTAATATTTATTAGGTACTTATTGTGGCTTCTATGAACTGAGCTAGGTACAGGAGCCACAAAGAGAAGAAAGATGTCTGTCTTTTGAATGCTTACAGTTGAGTGATTTTTCTCACGTGTGTGTGTGTGTGTCTGTGTGTAACCCTATCACATAATGGAACTGCATTCTCCCATGCCCTTCCAATCTAAGAGCAGCTCTATGGACTAAATACCTCCTACCCAGCAGCTGCTACTCTAAAGACTTACTCTTCTACTCCTTTTTAAAAGTACAACCCTCTGGCACATGCATTACATCATGTTTTGGTCACAGCCCACCACCCCCATATCTGGCATGTAGAGTGTTAGTATTTGTTTTTGTGTGTGTATGTATGTATCTAAAATTTAAAATTTTTGCTCTGGCAGTTGTCTGCGAATACTCTAATTTTGGGGGCATGATTATCATTCTGTCTTCCAGCAATCAATTGATACATGTTACCTGAGTAGGATTGTCCATGAGATCAGCTGCTCCAGTCTCATTTTATATGTGAGGAAATTGGAGTTCAAAGCTTTAAAATGATTTTTTTTTTTTGAGACGGAGTCTTGCTCTGTCACCCAGGCTAGAGTGCAGTGGTGCCATTTCAGCTCACTGCAGCCTCCAATTCCTGGGTTCAGGTGATTCTCCTGCCTCAGCCTCCTGAGTAGTTGGGATTACAGGCACCTGCCACTGCGCCCAGCTAATTTTTATATTTTTAATAGAGATGGGGTTTCACCCTGTTGGCCAGGCTGGTGTTGAACTCGTGACCTCATGATCCACCTGCCCCAGCCTCCCAAAGCAGGGATTACAGGTGTGTGCCACGGGGCCCAGCCTAAAATGATTTTCTTAAAGTCACCCAGGTACAAGGATCAGAACCAGAGTCCAAGTATCTAGTTCAGGACTCTGCACACATTGTCACATGTTCTGTCCTACCTTTTGGGATGAATAGTTATGCTTGTTTTGTGATTACTCACCTACCTTTTTGGAGATATATGAGTGTTTTGTATGCTATTAATAGAAGGCAGCCTTCACAAAATGCCATCCACAGATCTGTTATTTCTTCTAATAAAGGAAATGATGTAAAATTACCTTAAATAGAAATAATTAGTGTTAATTCTTTTAGAGACATACTCCATAATCGAAACATGAAATATTTGAGGTAAACATGCTACATAAATAAGTCCTTTTTAAAAAGATAATATTAAACATTTTTAATTTATAGAGATGAGGTCTCCCGGTGTTACCCAGGCTGGTCTTGAACTCCTAGGCATTTACCTCAGCCTCTCAAAGTGTTGAGATTACAGGCATGAGCCACAACACCCTGTCAAGTTCTTTTTTTTTTTTTTTTCTTTAATGAAATTACTTTCTAATGCAGAATTTCTTTGACAACATCTGTTTTCATTTGCTCTAAAAAATGTTGCTTATAGTGCTTTGATCTGAGTTATCTACAACAAGAAAATACCATTATGGATAATCATTCAAAAAGAAGCTTGTTAGCTTGTTAATTTTTAGGCCTGAGAGTGAAATAAAGTTAGCATTTTCTTTTTATTTTTTTATTTTAATTTTATTTATTTGTTAAGAGACAGGGTCTTGCTCTGTTGCCCAAGTTGGAGTGCAGTGTTGCTGTCGTAACTCATTGCAGTCTCAGGATTAAGTGATCCTCCCATCTCACCCTTCTGAGTAGATGGGATTAGCATATGCCACCATGCCTGGGGAATTTTTTTATTTCTTGTGGAGACAGGGTCTTCCTGTGTTCAAGTTGGTCTCAAACTCCTGGCATCAAGCCTTGGCCTCCCAAAGGGCTAGGATTACAGGTGTGAGCTACCATGCCCAGCTGAGCATTTTTAAAAAATACTGGTTTTTGTACATGAGTTGTTACTATTTGATTCTAAGCCTTGTGACTGATATCCCTAAAATTATTTAGAAAATTTTAAGTGCGTCAGAGTCATTGAAATGGAGGAAGGAGGACTGTCTTTTATTTTTTTGAGACAGAGTCTCACACTGTCACCTGGGCTGGAGTGCAGTGGCAGGATCTCAGCTCCCTACAACCTTTGCCTCCTGGGTTCAAGTGATTCTCCTGCCTCAGCCCCCCCAAGTAGCTGGGATTACAGGTGCCTACCACCACACCCAGGTAATTTTTTGTATTTTTAGTAGAGAAGGGATTTCACTATGTTGGCCAGGCTAGTCTCAAACTCTTGACCTTGTGATCTGCCCACCTTGGCCTCCCAAAGTGCTGGGATTACAAGCGTGAGCTACCTCGCCTCCCAGCTGGAAGGAGCACTGTCCTTTGGTATCAAAGATTTTGGGCTTGTTTTAACTAGCTTCCTACTGGTTATGAGCAGGTTATTTAGCTTTTGAAGCTTTTGTTCCTTTTGTCAAATGGAGGTGATAGTTGCTTTGTCTGTTTTAAAGGCGTATGCTTTTCAAATGTGATAGTTCTTTTTGGAGGCCAGGCGTGGTGGCTCATGCCTGTAATTCCAGCACTTTGGGAGGCCGAGGCGGGTGGATCATGAGGTCAGGAGATCCAGACCATCCTGGAAAACATGGTGAAACCCTGCCTCTACTAAAATACTCGGGAGGCTGGGGCAGAGGAATTGCCTGAACCCGGGAGGCAGAGATTGCAGTGAGCTGAGATCGCTCCACTGCACTCCTGCCTGGTGACAAAGCGAGATTCCATCTCAAAAAAAAAAAAAAAAAAAAAAAAAAAAAAACCTTTTTAGAAATATTATTTTGGGAAATTT